AGACATCGGTGAAGCCGCGCCCGTAAATCGAAATGCTAATGTTTGCATGCAACGTGTCCGTCCGGTGTTCCCTTTGTAACAGATTTAAGTAAATGAAACATAATTTTTGACAAAAAATTTTGACAATTTGATTTAATAAGGTATAAAAAATCGTCAATACTTACTAATAAAAAAAAGAAAGAAGTGGAGAAAAAAGAAGAGAATAAAATGTTTATTAACTATTTTGTCTTTGCCAATTAGAAATATAGATAATTAATAAAAGAACACGTTTGAAGCGGCTTGAAGAATTCTTCAGTCATCATCAGTCAGAGCAGTTCTTACTAATCATCCCATCATTCCGAATTACATATCATTATTCGAAAATGAAATAATAACAAATAAATATTGATGAAATTGATTAATATTAATCACCTCTTCAGGGATTAATTTTTTAAAGCTAAGTAAAAAAATAGTAGTTTATTCTTTATTGCGATTTGTTCATTTTAATTTGAAAAGAATTCAGTAAAAAAACCAAACAATGAATATTTAAATTTTAAAAAGACCATTTAGCGTAAAATTATATGTATAAATAATTAAAAAAAACGTAAACCATACGTGTCCATGTCCATGAAAAGGTCGATTAAAACACCAGTAATGCGAAAAATCACCTAAATATTTGCATATACTTACTACTCAGCAGCTACTTACTAGCTATCTATAATTAATTACAATAGCGCGTTTCAAGAAATTTAATACAACTTACACCGGCTTTTAATTTAAGCATGGAACTTTCACATAAATAATTTCTAAAATAAAATGAATTTCGGAATCTGCAGATTTGGCTCTAGTTTCTTCTCTTTTGCCATTACTTCTGAAAGTTGGCAAGCGTTTTCAAATTCAGCTCCTAAGTAATTTTCAATGTAAGAACTAGGGCTGAATTATTTTTACAAGTGATCTTTTGATTATTGTTAAACTCTGTTATTGTTTCAATGTGGAAGTCTTTCTTTTAGTTGAACTTGTGTCGTAAAACGGTTATTTCAAAAATAAACGGTGATTCCGCACGGTTAAGTACCACCACACCGCCTATTTCTGCCGTGAAGCAGTAATCCGTTGCGGTTTGAAGGGTGTGGCAGCCGTTGTAATTTATACTGAGACCTTAGAACTTATATCTCAAGGTGGGCGGCGCATTTACGTTGTAGATGCGCCGCAAAAAGATAGAATCATTAAATGATAAGACGGGCATTTTTCCAATGCAAGTAGTTCAGACCGACCTATGTCTCAACGTTGGTATTCCCTTTCCTAGATGACCCATGAGCTAGAATAACCAACAACAGCAAAAAAATAATCCGCTTTAAAATTCCAGTTTCATTCCTTGTATTCCTAGTAATTACAACGAGGAAGGTCCTTAATACACTGAAGAAATGTCGATAAAATTATAATTTTATAGTGTATTATTATAATTAAATGTAATTAATTCGTTGGGCGATAAAATTAAAACCTGGTGCTGATGTACCTTTGTTTCTGACAGCGAAAATTGTAAGGCTTCATAACTAGTTTCGTCCCTGTACCTATAAAGGTTTTCAGTTTGTAGCTGGACCAGATCACGGTCTAAATTACTAATTTCCTTATATCGTTTTATTTTTGATTTGCTAAATCGTCGTAAGCTAAAGGAAAACAAGGCCGGTATACGCATATCTCGTAGACGGAAACCAGTTATTTTCAGGAATAGCATGCAAAAATCCTGCAAATCTTTATAAATCCTGCAAAAATTTATAAATTTGTGTAATTACCAGTGGCAGGACGTATCGAAGCCCGCACGGGTTATATCTCTAACCATATTATTTCCTCTGATTTTCCTAAAACCTTACTTTTTTCAGGCAAATCGGAACTGAATTATTTTGATTTAGATGTTAGACTTCACTGTTTTGATACTTAGCCCATACATCACAGATAAGATGTTGTTGTAAAGCGCAATACATCGTGCTTTGCTTGTTAGCTCTATAATGAGTTTCCCAATCCAAACCTTTAAAACCTAACATCCTACTATTTTTTTGATAGACTCCTTCTAAAAACCTTGAGAGCTTCATTGGGAATATTGTTGCGATCGTTGTATTGTAATGTACCTTATCAATACATATTATATGTACACCTTTTGTGTTATGCGGTCCCTGTGGAAGTTCGATACAATAAATTTCGGGCACACGTTATCGCTTGGCCTTGATCGATCCTTGAGTCTGTACGTGTGTTCAGTTGCGGCTTTCAATGGCGACACACGTGCCTTTATTTTAAACATATTCAATACATTCCCATTCCCATTCCCATTCCCATTATAATCCCAGATATATCTGTAAGAAAATAATAGTTGAGATTTTTTAAATTTAAACGGGTTACATGAAAACTATATCCGTGTAATGAAAGCGAAGGAAACAGAGCTAATCAACTCTATTACTTATAATATTTTGTCAGATTATAAAGAGTTCTCAACATGGTAGGAAAATTAGATTGGCGGTCTTTCACGACCACGAAAATAGTGCACATAAAAAGAAGTGGACACAGACGTGGATATAATCAAAATCTACGGATCTGAACGCGATGATGAATATGTATTAAAAAATATAATACTAGGAACACGAGAACTGGTAAAATAATGGCTCAATATCTGTATATCTGTAGGATATTTATTATGAAAAAAACACAGTAGTCTCTCACCCTGTGATTAATATTGGAATTAAAAAAAAAATACATTTTTAATTTTATTGATAATACTAAAAATATCCATGCTAATTGCTTAGTAGATTGTAAGCATAGGTGATCACACATTACGTTACGGAATTAAATTACTAGTCTGTTGTAGATCTCGATATAATTGCTTTCGAGTTGAAAATAACGCAGTAGATTCATGAAACTGTAATAAAACAGTTATTACTCGAGGGAAGGTCATTACAATATGTACCCTCGACGATTCTACCCTCACTTGATATTGATGTTCAACCCACGAACGATTGTCCGAAACGTTACCTACCCTATTTGAGGGGCTTACTCTTGTATTCTTGCAAGATAAAAAGCCAATCTACAATTGAATACTTTCAATTCTTTTACACACTTATGATATTTTTGAATATAGTTTTAATCTTCTTGTTTGAAATTTAGAGTCTAGGCGATTTTGACGGTAAATGATTAGAAAAAAAATTTGTTAAAGAAAAAAAAAGGTTTTTACTTTTACACACTTATGATATTTTTGAATATAGTATTAATCTTCTTATTTGAAATTTAGAATACTAGGCGATTTCGACGGTAGATGATTACAAAAAAAAAAATTGTGAAAGAAGAAAAAAAGGTTTTCCTTAAATGGATCAGATAGGTCACAGCTCATATTAAGTAATTACAGAAGATCGTTTATCGAATCTGATTTAAAATAAATAAAGATATAACCATTAAAATGTTGTTCAAAAAAGCAAACTTTCTACATATTTTGTTTTCTAAAGAAAGCTTTTAATTATAGGTGATTAAAAAGAAATAAATACTCTTGAATAATTCATATCCCTTCTATTCGTATTGAACCTAAACTTTGTAACTGTAATCAGTCCTCTAGACGTGATAATCATAATTATATTGCTCAAACGAAAGAAGAACTAAATGATAAGGGTTATGGTTGTTTATGAATTTGTCGAAATCAACAACGAAATCGGTGTTTTCGTTGAATGCCTATAAAAAGATTAAAGATCCACAAGCGAAAGAAAACGAACTTAAAACCGAATCTTAGTTATAACAAGAAAAAAATGCACAAACAATAATTAAATATAAAATAGAATACTAAAATGAAAATTTTTATCAAATAATTCTGAGAAGCATTGAATAACCTTGGGAAAAAAAGAAGTGCACCTAGAATTCAAATCGTCTGAACGTCACAAATATGTAAGTTTCGTAATGTCTAAGAAAACGTTGATCTTTGAAACAGGGCAAAATCAATACGGATTCCGCCGCAGAATTATTTTCTCGACCAAAACCTGCCGGCACGTGATTCTACTTGTTGCCGCTACGAAAAGAGCCGAAGCTACACATCTATTATAAGATGCGATCATGTTGCTGATGGTAGAACATTAAATTTAAGTGCAAATGATGAGCTTATTTAAATTGATAGACAATCTTATCATTTATTACATTATTAAGGATCAGTTTGGATGAGTTTGCTTTAAAATCCAGTATTCTAAATTATTGCTACATCGAAACTCTGTTGTTCTTCAATATTATGAAAACTTTACTTGCTCTTTTGTAAATTGTAAATGCTAAATTGATAACCCGAATAACATGAATATTCTAAAAATGTTTTTGAAAACGGTATTTATTTTTCATTTTCATCATGATAGACGATTTCATAATTAAGGACAGAGCCCACGTATATTATCCTACATAACTATGTATTCGTTCATGACCTAATCGAACGCCTAGCCTCGTGCTCGGTATTTCCACAGGCCTGTGTATGCATTGGTTGAATTAGGTGCGGTCTTGGTATTCCCAGTTAATACCGTAGGGGGATGGGAATAGGGGTTGTTGGCCGCAATCGATCCATTTTGTCGTCTTCAGCCGTCACCATCGATGCGCTGTTATTGTCGGTGGTTGTTGTGCTGGCAACAAAGCACTTTAAAAACTTAAAAAGACATCGCCGCTGCTCTTTCCAATTTTATGACCCTTTAGACAACAGATACCCGAAAAATAATTTAGTTCCTGAAATGTATAACTTAAACCGCAGGTTTGCCATGTCGCTGAAAACATATTTTTGAACTGCGGTAATATTCGAAATGGTAAATTTGAAAACGGGAAATCAATCGGAAGCAATTTGAGTGGTGAAACAAATTCAGCGTGGCGTTGCCGACTGTTAATTGGCTGCGGGTGGCGGCGCCGAGACGGCGGCGGAACCTCCGCATGGAGCCTCCCTGTCGTACCCTCTCCACGCACCCACCCCGACTCCCCTCGACAGCTCGGCGTTTTATGAGCGAGAAGTCCGTTGAGACTCACACGAGTCTAGGCTGCTCTGGATATTCGTTTGTTTTTCCGTTCCTCTGCAGTTGCTTAGTACAAATAGTTTGAAAACAACTTAATCCGTTTCATTGCAATATCAACGTCTTTCACGAGAACTTCATCAAGTTCAACATAAACACTCTGAAGAATAAGTTTGTGAGATTTGTCCCCAACATTTAGTGAAAATCATAATATAAAGCACAAATCGTCTTAGTTTCCGCAACTTTCGATCCTTATTCAAAGAGGATATTTGGGGAACATTATAGACGTCGTGGGTGACATTATTTTTCCATTTGGTAGGCTTATTTTCTTGTGTGGGTTATCAAGTTAAGGACGGTAGCGCGCGAGGGGTGGCTACGGGGCTGGTCTGCAGGGCGGGGGTTGCGAGGCGCGGGGTGCAGTTATCGACCGACTACCCTCCCCCCGGCGTCGCTCAGTTTCCGGGCGAGAGTCGCGCAGTTCGCCGGCATCGCGACGTGACTCCGTCACACGTTAGATAGTCCATTTGATCATCACCATGCTGATAGGACTCGTAAGGGACTCGGTGATGCAGTGCTTCTGCCACTCATGCCGTGCACCCGTTTTACCAGCAGGTTGGGAAATCCTTAATCATGAAGATACATTCTCCATATCATCACCGTCGTCTCCATCCAGCAGCAGGACAAACACCCCGATCGTGATTTTGCGCTTGAAACCATTTGAAAAATCTTAAGTTTGTATATTTCCAAGAGTTCGTTTCAGGAAAAATAACCTAGTTTTCCGGTGCAAGTCTTCACTTTATTTTGCACGTGGAGGTAAGTAGAATATCTGACTATGAACAACATAGTTTCCGTTGAAATATACAACATAATATTAGCAACTTATTACATTCCGATCGATTATTATTATTTTGTATGTCAAAAACGCCGGCCGGCGCGCGTTCGCCGGTGTGATTATACGGACCGGTAGCCGTCTGCGACTTCTAGGTACGTACATTGTACACTCCATGCTGCTTTTTATAAGCTTCATCTACACTAAGATGATATACCAATATACTATAAACAATTTACGGAATAGATAAGACTGAACGAATAGTATGAGTCTTAAGATTTATTTCTGACAAGTAATCTTATGTAAAGTTAAACTGAAAATTTAAATTAATCATTCATAAGCTCACATTACTACTAAATGTGAATCCTAAAGCTTATAGGATATAATTATGTAATTACTCATTTTCAGTGCAACATCTTGATTGATTCTTCTTTTTTTCTTTTCACAGGCCCGTTTCCTATTTACTATTGATTTAACACCGGTGGAAAAAAATGTCCACCATTTTGTACCGAATGTGTTGCTATAACGTCGACATGCGTCCACCATTTTGCGCAGAACGAAAATTTTGAAGTCTAATATTTCTTTCACTTTATACACCTACTTACTTCTTAATATCAAAACTTTACAGATTAATCTACTGGGAATGTTAATTATGTTTGCTCACGCTATCACGATGTAATCGCGCCCCCATAACTTTGAAAAAATCCGGCATTAACGACATCATCCGTCATTCCCCCTAATGTGCGTAAAATTTGATTTTTTTGTTTGTTAATTAAATTATTCTGTACCCCGAAGTTAAATTACTTCACTATCGGCAGTCGAGTCTAATAAAATTTAACAGTTTCCCAACATTTCGGTACATAAGTTATTGGAGAAATTTTGGATTTAAAAAAGAAACAATAATCGCGTAACACACTGGTTTAAAAAATGTGTTTTCTATATCTGATGGTAAATAGTCACCGTCGCTCGTGGACATCAGCAATTCTAGGGTCACAGGCAAGCCGCCGTCTACTGCGTTGGTTCTTATAGTTCTACTTTCAGTAAATTACCAAAGTCTGGAAAAAAATTAAAAAGAACCAGAGGCAAAATATGTATTATTACATTCACTCAAAGGCTACAAAAGATGATAATTGAAATGACATGACATGATTGAAATGCAAAATATAAAGCGTTAGCTAGTCGGTTACGCTCCACCCGTTTCAAGTTCATTCGGATTAGTCAACAGGCCATTTGTAAAGAGACATCAGGGGGATGGATATCACATAATTGTTAAGGGTACAACATCACATTGGGGTTTAATTGGCTCAACAAGTACTGCTACCCCTCTATGCCAAAAGGAAATGAGGAGAGATGAGCATCAAAATTGGATTCAACTTGTTTTCTCATTAGTACATCATTGTTCTTAATGGCGAAATTCGAGAGGGTTGTCAACGAGCATTATTTACCCTATTATAGGGTTTTGATATAGCTTGTATACGAATATTATAGGCAAATATACCAAGGGCACTAGGGTAAAAGTTGTTACATTTACATTGTAATCCAAATTATTTAAGGAACAGAGTGATGCATTGCGCTCACTACAAAGTTAGTGTGCACAACTTGAAGTATTATATCCGGACACCGGAACTAAGTTTTGAACTAGAACGATCTTTATTAAGTAAACCTTTAATCCGATAAAGTTTAAGCTTTTAATTACAGAAAAAGTCACATTTTCCGCATTTACAGTAGAAAATTGAGACTGCGTCGCAATTTATCGAGTTACACCAATTTACTAATGAAAGAGGGTGTTTTAAACATTCCCGAGAGTATTTTCCTATTTTCAATGGCCTATGCATCAGTGACCGCATTCGTCTAAAAATAATCACCTATATAGTCATTCGTATCCGCACCATAGTTGGAAATATTGCGTTATGTCATCCACTCGTGAAACTGTGAGCTTTCGGTTTAAATATTTTATCAGGTTTTTCATGTATTCGTGTGGCGCCAATGGGGCTGCGACGCACGCCCCCGACCTTTCGATGTAATTGCGTCGTTCGAATTCAATTCTTAGTATCAATAATTTTCCTTTATATTAGCCATTAAAAGTGGTTTTAGAAAATGTTTATATTTTTCTTTCGTGACAATTTCAATATTTATCGAACCGGGTTTTTCATTGTAGTGTTTTGCCTCAAATATGGTAAAGCCATCATTAGTTATAGGTATACAAGCGTGAAAGATTTCTCTCGGTTACGATTACGCAAATAATGCCGCAGTGGAAAGCCGGGGGGTAACTATTTGCTTAATCGGATAGTTTCTAAATTTATCTTTATTGAAAACTGCAATCGGGTAAAGTTGATGAGTTTTACTCGAATGCTTTAAGAAGTAAAATAATCGTAAGAAAGTTAACGGATTTTTTTTATTGCTTAGATGTGTAGACGAGCTCACAGCCCACCTGGTGTTAAGTGGTTACTGGAGCCCATGGACATCTACAATGTAAGTGCGCCACCCACCTTGAGATATAAGTTCTAAGATCTCAGTATAGTTACAACGGCTGCCCTACCCTTCAAACCGAAACGCATTACTGCTTCACGGCAGAAATAGACTAGGCGGTGGTACCTACCCGCGCGGACTCACAAGAGGTCCTACCACCAATAATTACGCAAATTGTGTCACAATAAACGTCTAATTAGGAACACACAATGTTTCTGGTCTTTAAATGATATCATATTCGGAAGGAGTGTAATTCTCGAATTTCGTACCGGCCAAACCGGCGCTCGGTCCTGCCATGAGGGATTATCCGCCCTTGCGGCAAATATCCGTACGCTCAGACATTCGCGTCACGTATCGGGCTCTCATCTCGCGCTGTCGTGCCGCAACATTATTACCTACCGACTACTATCCAGACGGACCGCCCCTCCTAACTTTAAATGAGACCGTAAATTAGTTTTCATTCGTGAAGTTTCGTTTGTCGTGTATCGAATACAAGATGCTTGCTACACGAGAATAACACTGTCGGCGGAATAATGTAAGCACGTCAAGATTTTTTAAAACTAAATTTGAAAAGAATTTCCACATCATAATCTGGGTTGGGTTTCTAAACAATGCAATAAAAATATTATAAAATAGCCAAATTCTCCAACCATGATTTCTCTACTAATTTAAATTAGTAATGTTTTTACGCACAATAATTGTAATTAATTCTCAATTAAGTGATAATACGAGGGCGGCACTGAAAATTTCGGGAATTAACGAAGTGACACAACATTACTATTTAAAAATGTATTTATTGCTTTTCGAAGTGTTCTCGAAGTGTTAAACCACTTCGAAAGTCATAATAAATCATCGCTCTTGAATTTTCTCGAGTCAATTCCATTTTCTCAACGACTAAACAAGTTTGACAAAACCTCGTGACAAGACCGAGAATCTTTTTTTAAATAAATAAATGGTATTCGATTTTTAAAACCAAGGAGTTTTCAATTAAAAATATTTTAAGATGACAGGAACAGTGGAAATATTCCATTCCCGATACTTTTAGTGCAGCCTAGTATTCTGTCAAGAATTAGTTGCTATTGGGGTTCTTCTTGTGGAAATTCGTGAGAAACGATAACGTTGCAGGTCGAAAGAGCATAAGTAAGAGTAAAGTAGTTTCGGGAATTTATATAAAAAAAGGGATGCTGTTAGAGTGTAGTGTAGTAAACCAAGTTTTAAAAGTAAACGCTCACATGGTTTTTTCAAAAGAAATGAAGCATTCAAATCCGTAGGAAGTAATATGACATATTCAATGACGTTTAAAACAGCAGCATCCAGCATCTGACTACTCTAGCTTTACAATTTCAGTTGTAATATGCTTGTAACAAAAATTATCCTACAATATCTTTTTATACCAATATCTTTTTAAATTAGCATGGGAATAACAGTGTACGAGCCGATGATTGCTTTTAAACATCGTCATAGTTCGCCCGCCCATTGTACTTAATGTCTTTTATGTTATCGTAGTAATTTAATTTGGTATATTATGTATAACGTAGATTAAATAAAAAATTAAAATGTCTAGCCAGTCAATGGAGGGTAGTTTCCAATAAAGAATATTTTTCACTTAAAAATCGAACATTGCGTGCTGTAGGATGCATGCCCGACAATGTTGACGTAGATTCCAATCGTTGATATCAATCGTTGCCCGGACCGTGGCTGAAAGCGACGACGGTGACATTTCCAAGTCGAATGTTTGTTCGACCTCCAATCGATAGTTTCAGGGAGTCACGCGACACCAGGGCCATTTAACGTCCGAACTGAATGTTTTGCAAATACACGTAAATTCATATGGAATCGTTCAGTGAGCTTGGTGTGAGTTTTAACGTTCTCGATAGCGTAAAAGTTAACTCAAATTTGTATGGTGTTGGAATGTTTGCCTGCGTTTGCCGCTAGGGGCACTGTTCCAACTACATACAAATTTGAGTTAACTTTTACGATATCGAGAACGTTAAAAAACTCGCATTAAGCAAGCACATAGTTATCGTTATTTGAAACACATACCTAGTGTCTTAGTAATTTGGTGTGGTTTAGGGATTAAGTAGTACTTTCTGATGTATAAGAGAATAAGCATTGTTTCTAGTATTTACGAAAAGATTCCTTCGAATGGTTTCAAGATATAGGGTGGTTGTCTCTCCTGTAGGGGTGGTTCGCGACGGTGTTCCAACTGCCCTCTAACGTACATTTCACTGTAGCTCATCGGCGGTCGGCGCCGAAGAAACCGGTCGGTAAACCAAGAACTAAGCAGCCGAAGAAGGTCAAATTCATCAGTAAGTTCCCGACAGCAGAGTTTCGAATGTTTTGTTTGGTCGCTTAGCTTTTTTGTTTCGCCCCGACATGAGCTTTAGCTGTATTTCTGATTCGTTTCACATTAAGCTTACATCACAAAGATTATATTATATTTTTGGATATTATGTTTCGCCGAATTTATCAGTTGCGAACCGCACTCGTGAGCCAGTTGTGTATTGCGCACCTCTTAATCCAACCTTTAGTATCTACATTCACCAGAGTTACTACGACCTACTTACTACCTTATTATTAACGGATTGACATTATTCTACCCACTGAGTTGCTTGCTCGTTTATTAGTATAAATTATTGTTTTTATTTTAAATATTCGCACTTTTAGTTCACTTTATGGAACCTAGATTTTCCCATTTTAAAACTACCCTAGGGTTTCTGTCTTAACCATTTTCCTTTGTGTACCCAGGGTCGAGGGCTTTCACCTCTTCACCATTGTTATGTAGGTATAAATAAAACCTTATATTCAAATGGTGCTATATACACGTCCGCCCCAACAAAGGAGGGGAAGATAATGAATAAAAGTGTAGTGAACATGTACTTATTTAGTACTAATAAGATTTATTTTTAATATAATATGAGATGTCATTAACTCCATCTTTATTTAATTATGGGAGCTCACACGCAATCTACAAGATTGATTTAACTAATTTTACTTATTTTTACTGTCTACAAAAATACCTTTCTTAGAATAAGGGAGTCACTAAATTACGTTGTAGGTTTAGAAGTGAGCTCCTCAGTAATTTATTATAAACTTGATACTCGTTGACAGCTTAACAATAATAATGTAAATCATTTTAATGTCAAATTTTTATGTCTTTGAAATATGTGTGTTAAACATTTCACACGCTCACATGTTTTCAAACAGTAACTATTGGCCGTCTCGGGGTGGATTATTGTGTACCCTCCTAATAATTAAGCAATACCAAATTCCTTAACTTCGACCTTGGACATAACTGGAATAACTTTTTAAAAAAATCCACATAAACTGATTTCAAACAGTCTAAACTATTGGTCGTCTCGGGGTGGATTATTGCGTACCCTCCTAATAATTAAGCAATACCAAATTCCTTAACTTCGACCTTGGACATAACTGGAATAACTTTTAAAAAAAATCCACATAAACTGATTTCAAACAGTCTAAACAATTGGCCGTCTCGGGGTGGATTATTGTGTACCCTCCTAATAATTAAGCAATACCAAATTCCTTAACTTCGACCTTGGACATAACTGGAATAACTTTTTAAAAAAATCCACATAACCTGAGCCCCGGGTATTATTAACAGGCTTTATATCGCCGCCCGCCGAGGCTGTTCATAACGCCTTAATTATGATTAATTAAACAATAAAGAGGGTAGATTTACGTGACGCTACAAAATTGTTTTCACTTTCGCTTTATATTAAAAAGAGCTCTGCTTACTTTTCGGATGTTAAGAAGCATTTTTATCTGTTCCGTGCATTTAAAAATGCTTTTTCCATTTTCATTTGACTGCTCAACTTTTATTAAAGCTATCACAAAAAAAACAGGCTACAAACTTTAAAAATTAATCTACATTGTCAGATTCGCGCGGTGGATAATTGGATTTATAAATATAATAATTTGTTTGTTTTTAAAGTACTTGTACAAAATAAATTATATTATATTTTATTAAAATTCGTAACAATACCTTGTAAACCTAACATAACAAATATGCTAGGTTTGTTTAAGGGACACAGTAATGCGGTACCTATGTACCTATTTTTATGTTGAAATTGTAGATACATATATAGATATTTCATATTATCATAACTTTTTTTACTGCCCTTGTAGGCAGACGAGCATACGGCCCACTTGGTGGTGAATGGTTACCATCACTCATGGACATCAGCAATGCCTGAACCAAACAGCTGCCTACCAAACATACTATGTTATATTCATATATGTATATTTTTAAATACAACGAGCTAAAATCGTGCTATCTATGTTACAACTACGCTTGATAGGTTTTGCTTTATGAGATACTTAATTGTTAATTCACTGTAAATCAATCAATATTGTCCAAATAATAAATCAAAGTTTATTTGCTATTCTGATCCTAATAATAAAGCCTCCCTTTGTAGTTTCATTACTGTGTACTATTCCCGTAAAAAGCATTGTTTAGTTAAAATAGAAATATGTGCCCATATTACGTGTTGCCATATTAAATAATCTACAATAACACTAGTAGGCAAGACGGCCTAAGCCGGCTTTTCGTAATAGCTTTCGTCTGCAGACATTGATCCAGGCGCGACCTTCGCCCCGTCCCCCTTCGTGCGTAGCCAGCAGGCTGTACAGAGATAAAATCTACCTAGACATTGCGTATTGATATTAATGTCATACGTACTGTATTCCTTTGCCTTTTCGGGATGGGGATTATGTTAATTTAAAAAATAATCCAAACTGAATGTAAATGTAATAGACGTTTGCAATCTTTTTTCTTTGCGTTGATATTTTTATTGGTTGTTTTTAAGGATGAGCCGGTGATGATTCCGATATAGCACATTCCAACGACTTTTAATTTATTTTTAATCATCCACGTAGGCTTGGACAGGAAGAGCGACCTGCACTTGCTTGCGATTTTGTCATTATAAGCTAAGACAAAACCTGAAATCACTAGTATTTTACTGTTACTGTCACATGGTTTTGAAGTATAATAAGGCTCTTCTATCATGCGATAGCCACCGAAATCCGCTGCCAAGAGATGTCGAAGGGCGGTCTGGCGTACGAGGTGATACTCGCGGAGCCGGTGGGCGTACCGGTTCCCCGTCGCGCCGACTCACCCGAAAAGACTCCTTCCGTCGAAGAGATCCAAGAGAAGCTGAAGGCAGCTGAAGAGAGGAGACGTGTAAGTAGACTCCACTAATCACATCTATTAGTTTAAACCTGTAATTGTTGATGTGTAAAAAGAAGAAGACTTAATACTTAATTGACATCTTCGTTGGTCTAGTGGTAGGTGATACTGATAAAAGTATCAATGGATGCGATTAATTTCCGCTTCTAAATTCGGTGTGTTTGTTAATAGCATTTGCCATTCATAGTACGTATCTATGTGTAACTATGTATCTCGTGTGCATGATATTGGCATTCTTACATACGAGAGAATCTTAATTTTGATGAGCTTTAATTTTTCGTTATTTTATTGTATAATTTTGTCTGGTGGATTATTGCTGTTGACGAGCAGGACTTAGAGCCAGTCTGGTGTTGGTTAGTTGCTAGTCTGAAGTGTACACCGGGACCACAATGTGAATTTCACCTCCTATCCTGGGACACTAGGTCGAAATTGGTTTGCCAATTATAATATTCTAATGGCGATAAACACTTTCTTCGTAGTTTTCAATTCGCCATTTGTAAATTTAAACGTGTTTGTGGTTTCATTTAGAGCTTGGAAGCTAGTAAGATGGCCGCCATTGCTCAGAAGATGGCCAAGATCGAGGAGGCGTCCCGCATCCGCAGCGAGCAGACGAATAACTTCATCGTCGCCACCAAGGAGGCTCTCGACGCCAAGATGGAGACCCACGAGGAAAAACGCGAGGCCTACATCAACGAGCTGCGCTCCCGTCTCAAGGATCATCTTGAGGGCGTTGAGAAGACCAGGTAATATCAGTCTTCATATTTGGTAACGTATCTCCACACTTTTTAGTTGATAATAATAAGAATAATCGCGGAAAGTCGCACACGGTCATCTGGCCCCAAACTAAGATTTCCTGTATTACGCGCCCCAGCTACTTACTCATACATGGATATATAGATATGAAACACCCAGACAAAAAGCAAGCTACAAGATATTCTGATGAACATCGTTTAATCGTAGTGTTGTGAGTGTTCCACAACTTTGTAGTCGGTATTAACATTGTTAATGATCTGTCCTATGGTTATTTCGATAACACTTGCTCATAATTATACAGTCGACTAAACAATAGTTCTCTAATTTTAGCTGGTGGGTCGTAATGTTAGCACGCGTTTTTAAGTGCCACCGTTTTTGTTACTGGTGGTAGGACGTCTGGTGAGTCCGTACTGGTAGGTACCACCATCCTGTCTATTTCTGCCGTGAAGCAGTAGTGCACTTCACGTTAAGTCACTTATTATCAGAAGAAACGAACAGCGGTACATCTTGAGCCACAGGCTTTCGTATCTGACAAATCTAGGCTATGTCTCCGTATATAATTGGTAAATAAAAAAATTTTTTGTGGCATATTAATCAAATGGTGTTGTCTAGGTTGACCCTGGAACAGCAGACCGCGGAAGTGTACAAGGCCATCGAAGATAAGATGACCACAGCTGCCGACAAGCGCGACGAGAACCTCAAGAAGATGATCGAGCGTCTGCGCGAACATGTACGTATGCCGCGACCCACTACAAATGAACCTTCAACCAAATACTCCTTAAATATGTAAAGCTGGTCGAAAAACTGGTAATTACTGGTGGTAGGATCTCTTGTGAGTCCGCGCGGGTAGGTACCACCGTCCTGACTATTTCTGCCGTGAAGCAGTAATGCGTTTCGGTTTGAAGGGTGGGGCAGCCCTTGTAACTATACTGAGATCTTAGAACTTATATCTCAAGGTGGGTGGCGCATTTACGTTATAGATGTCTGTGGGCGCCAGTAACCACTTAACACTAGGTGGGCTGAGAGCTCGTCCACCCATCAAAGCAAAAAAAAAGCTGGTCAAAAAACTTTCTGGTATGACTCCCATTTTGTTTGGGGGATGGAAAGTATCACGTGGAGCGATATAAGGTTATTGTTATCTTAGTTTTCTATAAATGGAAACAATAAAGAAAGAATATGAAAATACATTTTTTTTTAATAATTCTGCATTAAAAGAACATCATTTGTCGTATTCATGAGGCGTGTAGTTGTGTTGTCATATCCCAGTTCGGTAATGGAGTATCTGATGCTTTGACCACAGTCAATGAATTTGTTTAATGGATCCCAATACTTCGAGCTTCGAATACGTAACTAAACATTATGTGGCGTCCATTCGAGTACCCTTGTCTATGGGGATCTCTGCGAGTCTTCCCGATGCAGCTATAGATGGATTTATCAAGAAGATCGTTAATGAAACATTTTCCGTACGCACAGGAGGAACAAGTTCGCAAGGTCCGCGCCGGCAACCAGGAGAAGTTCCAGCAGCTCGAGAGCGCCATCCAGGAGAAGCTGCAGCAGGCCGCCGACCGACGTCTGCTCATTGAAGCTGAGCAGAGAGAGAAACTACGCAACCATGTTAGTATGCACCCGCGTCTCTAGGTACCGTCGGCACAACAACAGTCAGTTAATAAATAATTACACTTTTGTATTCGCAAGTACCATGATTACCTGTTGCTTTATGTGAAAAATATATTTGAAAACATTTATTTCCAAATTCCATTTTACTCGTCATAATAAGTGTACTGCTGGTGAGGCCACTGGTAAGATGACACATACTGGACGAGTCGCCCGACTCCGACAGACTATGAGTTGCGATCTCCAAAATGCAGGGAGCGACTGAGCTGAATCGCATCGGAATTATTGTCATAATTCCTTATTCATTTTCGTCCGTCAACATCATCTTTTGTCACATTAACTCGTGTCGTGTTATTTTATACATTTAATTCACCAAATCACCCTTTATGATTTTTTTTCTTTTTGTTTATTCATCATAAAGAATATTAAACTGGCGGAAGTCCGCTCGGCCGCGACCGCTAAAGTCGAGGAGATCACTAAAGACATTGAGAACAAACTGACCACAGCCGAGCTGAACCGGGAAAAGGAAATACAGAAGAAACTCGATTTCGTCAAGAAGGAGGTTTGTGTACAGCAGAGACTGGGCAGGGGGGTGTAGCAGTGGATGCAATATTCATTTCATATCTTTTGAACTTCTATCACCAATTAAAACAACTTGTGACGAGGGTAGACATATTCATTGACTTGGTATATTATTATAGATAGTATTGAGAAGTATTAATAATATATAACAGCAACATAGTTATTACAATATACTATAGATTAGCTATCCTTTCTGTTGTATCACCCTGTGTGTACTGTCACCTAACGATGTGTATACTCTTTTCCAGGAGCGGCGCGCCGAGCTGGTCCGGCAGAACAAGAGCGCCCGCACCGAGACCGCGGCCCCGCCCTCCTCCGGCTAGAGCGCGGCCCTCCGACACACGCCTCTCACGCTCACGTCACAACTGTCAGATTTGACATCTGTCACACGCCCACCAACATCAACAGTCAGATTTGACACGTTGACACTGAAGCCGTGAAAAACGCCATTACGTATCAATAGGACGACGCTAAGTGTGAACCGAACGTGATGCGAGTAATGTAGCAAGTAAAAGCTTCGCTGAAATAAAAGCTCTTGCGAGTGATTGGCCGCAGACGGCTCGGTAGCACTCCGCGTCGTCGCCGCGTACATTTCTTAATATTTCAATATAAAAATAGTAATCGCCGCGTGCATATCGTAGTGTTGCCGTACAGCTGGCAACGTCGATGATTTAGTTTGAACGTTCGTGAGTCGCCGTGCTCCCTATGGCTTAATATCTTCATGTAAAACGTGCAAAATCGCTAAGTATGCTAAATAAAAAGTACTATTTGGAAATGCTCTTAGGGCGTTCGTTTATGAAATACAATAAAATATATTATAGTTTGTGCGTCAATGATTGAATGTATAATATTTATATATAATTAAGAAATCCTAAATTCATAATTTCAATACTTAATTTTGATTATTGTGTGGGTGCTTAACTGAAGGGGTTTGGTGTTGTAAGATTTAAAAATACATTATATCAAGTTAACTCACCAGATGTGTGTGACATCCACTTATTACCTATTATCAGCTTAAAATCGTGTTTTATTTACAAAAATGGATTTTGCGTGTAGCAAGGCAACTATTAACCGCAATACGGCCTATTTGTCTTAAAAATGATCTCAGAGCCACTTTTAATAGTTCAATGCAGAATAATTAAATTTCGAAGTTGAATTTTTTTTTTTTTTTTTTTTTTTTTTTTTGCTTAGATGTGTGGACGAGCTCACAGCCCACCTGTTGTTAAGTGGTTACTGGAGCCCATAGACATCTACAACGTAAATGCGCCACACACCTTGAGATATAGTTCTAAGGTCTCAGTATAGTCACAACGGCTGCCCCACCCTTCAAACCGAAACGCATTACTGCTTCACGGCAGAAATAAGCAGGGCGGTGGTACCTACCCGTGCGGACTTACAAGAGGTCCTACCACCAGTAATTACGCAAATGATAATTTTGCGGGTTTGATTTTTATTGCACGATGTTATTCCTTCACCGTGGAAGTCAATCGTGAACATTTGTTGAGTACGTATTTCATTAGAAAAATTGGTACCCGCCAGCGAGATTCGAACACCAGTGCATCGCTCGATACGAATGCACCGGACGTCTTATCCTTTAGGCCACGATGACCGAATAATGAAGGTCGGTCGTTTCGGGTCGTGTCCGCGCCGGTAGCTGCCAGTGCGTCGTGTAGGATCGCGTGACAGTCCCTCGGAAACACGGAAATGGAAAGATAAGGGAAAATGAGCAGCTCGGTAGAGAGAGGTAGTCGGGGTGAGCACACCAACTCCGATCGATTACTTTGTATAGTGGTATATCATTACTTTTAATGTCATAACGCAACAGTATTTTAGGATGATAATCTAAATTTAAGTTTTTTTTCGCATTAATAATAATCGCCGTAATGCTATTGTCCGTTCTCGCATAGTATAATATATATTTATGAATAATGATTTGGTTTCGTGGTCGTTGCCGGATGTCTTAATCGTGTTGGTCGTTGCTTGTGCTCGGTCATACCAGAATTCCTCGTTTCATAACTACCATAAAACAATATTGCGTCTGGCAATAGTATTCTACCATCAAATGTTGCCAGGATTTTCATCAATTTTACACAACTAAAAGCCTTGAATTTCAGATATTGTATTTTAAATCGTTTGATCAGTTTGAATAGATAAACTTAGTCGATTAGTTGACAGCGAAAGTGCCTCCGAACTATTCGAGAAGTTGCTCTTGGATGAGATATCAGTAAAATAAAATATAACATATAAAACTGCCTTTTATAGCGTTTTATATTTTTTTATTGGTAGTGGAGGTGGGAAGCCGGGCCGCGGATGTAGCGTGTGCTGGACACAAACCGCTTTCTGTGATGTTCGCGCACTAGTGTTGTTACTTATCGATACCTTGGTCGGGTGCAACACTAATCGACCTTTAGGATGGTATAATACGCGGGTCGGTCTCCTGTAAGTGAAGGTATTATAATAGTATATTTTTGGCATTGATTTAGCGGCGGCCAGTATGAAGTCAGACATGTATATATGAAATGACGATTAAAACGCTGGACGCCAAGAGAGCGGCGGGCGAGCTTGCCAGCTTCTGACTTTGTTACTAACGCTACTGTGTGAGTAAGGGAACTAGTTGTAAGTTAATAGCTTTTGATTCTCGGTGAAGAAGTGAAAACCTCTGACCAATCTGCCTTGGGTATTGTGTAGCCTATTAGATATCTCACAATCGTAATTAAACATTTATAGCGTTGCAAATTAAAAGGCTTTCCGATTATTATTATTATTATACTGTTCATTTTATTTGATTATTGCGTATATTTTAGGTATGTCCTGTCTTATAATTATGATGTTATTAACGTTTAATTATTATTATTTTTATATTTTATTACGTGATTAAATGTGCTTCAATTTGTGAGGTAAAATGCTGTTTGAAGTGCAGGCAACTTTTGTAGTTTCATTGTCGTATTAAATAAAGTCATAAATACTAATAAAAATGTTGTTTTTATTTATTGCATCAAACAATGGAATAGTTTTTACTTATATAAAATATACAGAGTGTCAAGAGATTTCTTCTGAGCCCGAAAAGGGCAATAAATTACGACCCTAACGTGAACTTTAATGAAAACAATATTCAGTTTCTATTAAGATCATAAATACTGATCTTAATTTTTTTATTATTTAAGACTAAGGTGCTACGTGGTTATCGGAAGACGTAAACGACACAGCGTCTATGTTGCTACAATTTGAGACCTGAGATCAGACCTCAGTCATTATATAACGACCATAGATAATACACTTAATATTTGAGATGTCCCACCCTGAAAGCCGCAACGTATGACCGACAGCAAAAAAGGGGTAAACCCAACGTATTAAAATACTTACGTTTAAACTATTAAGGATCGACCTAAAGGGTGCCATCTTGTATAGGGAACTAGTTGAAAAAGTGTCCACCTTCCAACAGCAAGTTAAAGTTCGAAGACGCATCGAAACAGCTAGTGTAGGAAGTGAAAATGGTATGAATATTGCAGTTTTTAAAAGAATGAAGTGTGCTGGATTGCAGTGAAGGCTATGTTCCAATATACACTGCGAGCGCTATTCAATGCTGATAGTGCTGTTACCCGGGAGCAATTCGTTCCGTTCTGACAGTATGCAGTCGCAGTATCCTAGAAAATTAAATGACGTCATAAATCGTTGCCTTTTCTACTGTGAGCATTGGTGTTTTCGAAGTTAGGTGCTCTCAGTGCTTTGATCACTTTAACCGTGCATAGCCTCATTTCAACAATACGGTTTTTAACTTAGTATACATGAAATTGCTTGAAAAACTATATTTTCTTTTACTAAAAAGTATACTATAAGGAAGAGAGGCCGCCCCAGAACAACTTGGCGTCGCTCGGTGGAGCAGGAGCTAGGGGTCTTGGGCATGACGTGGGAGGAGCTAGAACAGACTGCCTAAGACCGATGTAAATGGAAAAATTTGATTCGAGCCCTACACCCCAGCAGAGGGTAATAGGAAGGAATGATAATGATGATGATGAAAAAGTATACTGAGTCTTATTAAGCGATTAATTTAAGCGACAATAATTTGATTGTTCTCTTTTCAAATATAAATAAATTTAAACAATAATTTTTTGTTAGAGTTAAAACACCGACAGAAATCTTCGATAACAATAAACTGTACTACGCGGCTACGTTCCGTTTTAAACAGTGACCAGTATAGCTAACTATATAAGAACAGTTTCGCAGTATATTAAATTGACGTCACATCTTACAGTGCTGGCAGTGCATATCGGAACATAGCTGTAGTGTGGCTGCTTATGGCGTTGTTCTTGAAATCTTTCCGCTTCTCTTTTTGGGTGACGCATTTACGTTGTAAATGTTTTTTTTTTATGATTGAAAGATTACTGGTGGCCCGGAGGCCTTTCCAGCTTCACCAGGACAGGTGGGATTTGCTAACAACTGCCCGAGCGCCTCCGAAGGAGACCTAACAACTCAAGAGCAATTGCTTCGCGAATGAATCTACTACCGGATCGGAATCGCGACCCACTGAGAAGATCCGGCGAGAAACTCAGCGGGCTGATGCATGGGTTAGGTTGCACGTCGACCTCTTTGTCGAGTTCGACGAGTACGGTTACCGGGGTNAGGAGACCTAACAACTCAAGAGCAATTGCTTCGCGAATGAATCTACTACCGGATCGGAATCGCGACCCACTGAGAAGATCCGGCGAGAAACTCAGCGGGCTGATGCATGGGTTAGGTTGCACGTCGACCTCTTTGTCGAGTTCGACGAGTACGGTTACCGGGGTTCCTCAGCCTGCTCCTAGTGTTAGAGCTGAAGGTATCTAATGTAAGAGTTATTGGATCTGATGGATCCGTAAGGACATGTCTAGGGCGACGACGGTGACTTGCTCCTGCGTGATCAGGATTCGGGGAATAATCAGCGGCGGCAACGATAAGGCGATTATCATGACGTGTAAATGTCTATGGGCTCCGACGACACGAGAACCCTCTCAACGTGGCCGCCGGTAACTACATTACCGATCTTGCGGACCAAATGGTAAACATTCGACGTCACCCAAAACACGTCATCTCGGATCCTCCTGATCCACTAACGGTGCTTTTAGGTACCCCAAGCACCGGTCATCGTTCTCGTCAAGCCCGTCGCTTGCGACGAAGGACTGGGTGAATAAATTAACCCACAGACACAGCCCACTGAGTTTCTCGCCAGATCTTTTCAGTGGGTCGTGTTTCCGATCCAGTGGTAGATTCTGCGCAGCACGGCTCTTGCTAGGGTTCGTGTTAGCAACATCGTCAGGTTTGAGCAACGTGAGCTCACCTACTAGCCTGGTGACGCTGATATGATTTCTCTAGAACATCAGCTTAGGTAGGAAAAAAAAAAACTTTGCTGCAAACATTAGGATTATCCATTAAATTAGCATCTAACAGCGCCGAGAGTGGATAATCCAAAAAGTTAACTGAATTTGTCCAAATACATAACCACCATTTTACTGATATTATATTTCATCTCATATCATTTCGTTTCATTTAATGTCATCTCAAATCTCAATTGATTAATGTCGCAAAAACAACTTCATTTAAATTTTTTTAAACAATACTTTACTTTATTAGGCCGTATAGTATGATACCTTCACCTTTTCAGTTGGAAAACGGAATTACTACTACTACTGACATGACAGTAAAATAAAAATGTCAAAACAAAATGGCTGTTTTATTAAGGTCAAGCTGGATTTTACTTAGTGCACGTTCTACTTTTTCATCGAAATAAATTTCATGATTTTACACATAATATTGAAAATGAATAGTTTTAATAATATTGAGTTCTAGATACAGTATTAAATTCTTTTATAAAAAGTTCAATTGTAGTTTAGTAGTGCCAAAACAAAAATCATAAGAATGGAGAAGACTAACACCAAGCAGAAGAAAGATAAATACGAGGAAGATGATGAAAGGCGTAGGTCCAAAAGGCCGAGACGGGCTAGATCTAGATCTAAGTCACTTGAGGTACAGCAGAATAGGGAGTATAGAAGTAAACGCCGGCGTTCCAAATCACGCTCACCTCATTACAAGGCTAGGGAAGATAAACGAGTTAAAGACACACAAAAAGAGCCAGAAACAAAAAAAGATGCCTCTACAAAGCCAGAAAGACGCGCAAAAGATACTGATATGTTGAATACTAGAACAGGAGGTGCATACATTCCACCAGCAAGACTGAGGATGATGCAGGCGCAGATCACGGATAAGTCCTCGATAGCTTACCAAAGACTGGCCTGGGAAGCTCTCAAAAAGTCAATTCACGGTCACATCAACAAAATTAATGTCGGTAACATAGGTATCATTATAAAGGAATTATTGAAAGAAAACATTGTCAGAGGTCGAGGTTTGTTATGCCGTTCTGTTATTCAAGCTCAGGCAGCCTCGCCAACATTCACTAATGTATACGCGGCTCTAGTATCAGCAGTTAATTCACGTTTTCCTAACATCGGGGAGTTGCTGCTGAAAAGATTAGTGATTCAATTCAAAAGAGGTTTTAAACGCAATGATAAATCAATTTGCATTTCCTCTGCATCTTTCATTGCACATTTAGTGAATCAGAGAGTGGCACATGAGATTCTGGCTTTAGAACTTCTCACTTTACTAGTTGAATCACCAACAGATGATTCAGTAGAAGTAGCCATAGCATTCTTAAAGGAATGTGGCCAAAAATTGACTGAAGTATCATCTAAAGGTGTAAATGCAATTTTCGAGATGCTAAGGAACATTTTGCATGAAGGTCAGTTAGACAAAAGAGTTCAGTACATGATAGAAGTAATGTTCCAAGTTTGGAAGGATGGGTTCAAAGACCACCCGGCACTGATTGAAGAGTTGGAGCTCGTGCCTGAAGAAGAACAGTTCACACATCTATTGATGCTGGATGACGCTACAGATCCTCAAGATATCCTGAGTATGTTATATTCTATTAAACTATCCATAAAAAAATAAGTCATAAAACACTTAAGTAGATTATCTGTACAGTCTGTCAATTGAATTATTTGTTCCCCTAAGTTTTTTAATAGCTATTGAGGGTATGCACAAGAGTTATTGTAACACTTAAAATGCTAAAAGTTTTGAGTGTATATAACACACTAAACGAGTAAAGTTTTAATTTTTAATAGGATTAATCATAATTTTTTATATATAGTTTACATAAAAATGTTTAAAAATGCTTTTAGCTTATTTAAAAATGTAACTTAAACAATCTCAATTTTTTTTCATATATTTTTGCTTTAAGTTTTAAGATAGTAGTACTCTGTATTAGTGAATTCAATATCCATTATTTTAGCCTATTTTTATTTTCCATTGTATGTATTAACTCATTTATGCCCAACATTATTGAATGTTATAAACAATTTATCTTAATGCTAAATTTAAAATAAATGTAAAATAAGCAAATTAGTATAAAATAATAAAAATAACAATTTTCCCAAATGCTTCAGATGTTTTCAAATTTGATGAAAAGTATGAAGAGAATGAACAGAAGTACAAGAATCTTTGCAAGGAAATACTCGGTTCTGATGCTGAGTCCGGTGATGAAGATGGTTCAGGAGAAAGCGGTAGTGAGGAATCTGACGAAGAAGATGAAGAACAACCAAAAAAAGAAATGACTATTATTGATAACACAGAAACAAACTTAGTGGCTCTGAGACGCACTATATACCTGACAATCAACTCCAGTTTAGATTTCGAAGAATGTGCTCATAAACTAATGAAGATGCAACTGAAACCAGGACAAGAAGTGGAACTATGCCACATGTTCTTAGACTGCTGTGCTGAACAGAGAACATATGAGAAATTCTATGGCTTATTGGCCCAAAGGTTTTGCAACATCAACAGAATATACATCGGACCGTTTGAGGAAATTTTCAAAGATTCATATTCAACAGCACACAGGCTGGACACGAATAGACTCAGAAATGTCAGCAAGTTTTTCGCCCATCTGCTGTTTACAGATTCCATTAGTTGGGAATCTTTGGAATGTGTTAAATTGAACGAAGAAGATACAACTAGTTCTAGCCGGATATACATAAAGATTCTGTTTCAAGAACTGGCTGAATACATGGGACTAAAGAAACTGAATGACCGTCTACAAGATCCGTTCGTATTAATTTGTTTTGATGTTTTTTTAGTTTTATAATAATAAATAAACCCTCAATTTCAAATGGAGATGTGACAAATGACAGTGGAAACTCTTTGAAAAGATAGCTGAGAGCACAGACAAGCGATTTCATTTTGCTGAGAGTAGTGACAGTTGTTGTGAGAGCTGCACACTAACGAATATTTATTTTAACTACCATTGCTACATTGCTATGCTCATAGGTGTGATTTAATACTAGCATTACCCCTTCTCTTGAGATAGGAGATGGTTTCGTGAGCAGTGAACAAAGTTTACGGTTTACCAAAAACTACCTTTATGGTTTAATCTTGCGAACTTTATTTAATACTAGCGAACCGCCCTCGCTTCGCTTCGGAAACATTAAATTTGATTATTGATAGCTGAGTCCCGCGATGTTAACTGCGGTTATTGTCGTACCGCGGGTGAACCCGCGGGGCGAAGCTAGTCTAAAAAAAGTAGCCTAAGTTACTCCTTATATCACCAGCTACCTATCAGTGAAAGGCCCGGCAAAATCGGTCCAGCCGTTCCAGAGATTAGCTGGAACAAACATACAGACAAAAATTGTAAAAAATGTTATTTTTACCGTATATATATTCATATGCATGTAGTAAAAAGAGGCTATTTCAATATTACAAACAGACTCTCCAATTTTATTTACATGTATAGATTATTTTCGAATACTTAACAGTTTTCGTGGTTACGGACGACAGAGTTGTTATTCGTGAACATTTTAGTAGCTCACATCCCACCTGGTGTGAAGTGGTTACCGGAGCCCATAGACATCTACAACGTAAATGCCGCCACCGACCTTGAGATATAAGTTCTAAGGTCTCAAGTAAGTTACAACGGCTGCCCCACCCTTCAAACCGAAACGCGTTACTGCTTCGCGGCAGTGCTTTCTTAGCTATTTTATTCGAGTCCACTATGTAATTTATGCAGTTTTGTTTCAGGACGTTACAAGAGGCGTTTGCCGGACTGTTTCCCCGAGACAACCCGAGAAACACGCGGTTCTCTATAAACTTCTTCACGTCCATCGGACTTGGCGGACTGACTGATGAGTTACGCGAGCATCTCAAACAAATGCCCAAGGTACACCGTTCTATTTTATACTGCAGCCGTGTTGAGCGGAAAACGGACGATATCGAGCAAGAGTCGGAATCGTGCTAACAACAATTTCAAGTAATTCAATGATGAAAACATTCAATAAATTTAAAAATACACTGGGAGTTGGTAAGCTCATACGGCCTCTTCATTACAACCTTAGGTAGACAGCATTATTATATTGTTTTCTATATAATGTTCACGATTGACTTCTACAGTGAAGGAATAACATCGTGTAATAAAAATGAAACCCGCAAAATTACATTTTGCCAAATTACTGATGGTAGGACCTCTTGTGAGTCCGCGCGGGTGGGTACCACCATCCCGCCTATTTCTGCCGTAATGCGTTTCGGTTTGAAGGGTGGGGCGGCCGTTGTGACTATACTGAGACCCTTAGAACTTATATCTCAACGTGGGTGGCGCATTTACGTTGTGGATATCTATGGGCTCCAGTAACCACTTAACACCAGGTGGGCTGTGAGCTCGTCCAACCAGCTAAGCAATAAAAAAATAAAAAAACTTTTGGACTTTCAATTAAACAAAAAATTGTCACATAATAATATGTTAAACAGAGTATTTATTACTTCTATTACAGAATACACCAGCGCCACCAACAGAGATCAAGATAGACAGTGACTCCAGCTCTGACTCCAGCTCAGACTCGTCTTCTTCAAGTGATTCCAGCTCAAGCGGTAATATTGTGTTGTATAATGCATCTATATATACATATTCAAAGTACTATAATATACTAGGATACCTATTACATATAAGACATGTTGGATACATTTTTCTTGATAAAATATGTCCTGAACTTAACGCACAATTGTTTTGTTTTATGGCATAAAATATTTGTTTAAATATACCTAGAGAACAAAAACAAGATAAAAGTCTCAGAATGCGACATATTTCAAATAATTTTGCAATAGTTTTAATGCAAATTTTTACTAGTCGAACACAATTCCTACTGTGTGCTTGGTGCGAGTTTTTGAACGTTCTCGATAGCGTAAAAGTTAATTTAAATTCGTATGGAGTTCGTACGTTTGCCTCCGTTTGCCGCTAGGGGCGCTGTTCCAACTAAGTTAACTTTTACGCTATCGAGAACGTTCAAAAACTCGCACTAAGTACACTGCTCTCTGTTCATATTAATTTGTATCTTAATTATTGTTTACCATTGCAACTCTGTAGATGATAACACCTAAATGTCGATAGACTAAATTAAAAATATAGCATTTACAATATTTACAGAATCTGAGGAAGAAACACAGAAAAAGAAGAAAGAAAAGAATAAAAACAAGGAAAAATCACCAGAACCAGAAAAACCCCAAGACAATAATGTCGAGCGGTGGGGACATGAGGGGTTCTACGATACTTACGGGAGGGACGCGCGGCGACACGACCCTCGCGACCGCGGCGACGGGGGGCGGGGGGGCGCCCACCGGGATATAGACCAACAAGGAAGACGCGCCAGGGACGAGAACGGGAGAGGTCTGAGAAGACGAGATGGAGATCACGAGCAAGACCCAAGAGATAGAAGAGATATAGAAAAGGATGACAGGAGGAATCGAAAGGATGGTGAGAAGAGTCGTGATGGGAACAGTCGTAAAGATTTTGATAGAGACAGTGAGAGAGAAAAAGATAAGAGAAGTCGAAAAGATGACGACAGAGTAACTGACAGGGAAAAGGATAAGAGGCAGACCAAGAATAGTGAAGAAGATAGTAGAAGACGTGACTCTGAATACAATAGAAAAGGTGAAAAAGAGAAGGAGAAGAAACGAAAGAACGCCCGGGACGACGAACACAAAAAGGAAACATATCACAATGATGAATATTCAGCTCGAGACGAGACCGAGTCCAGGAGAACTAAGGACAAGAGAAGTAGGAATGCAGGCAGTGACGACGACAGGAAACAGACAGGGCACAGTAGTGACGAGGGCCGCCGCGAGCGTCGCACTAGGAAAGACAAACACAAGAGAGGCGGCAGGAGGAAGAGTGATGCTTCTGACGACGACGATGGCTGGGATATCAAGTGCAGACAGAATGTGCCGAATGAGGTCTCCGGGAGGTACTGGGACTGCTCAACGAATAAGCGATTGGAGTCGCCGCAACGAAGCCAGAAAAAGCGGGAACGGTCCAGACAGCGCTCCTGACCCTCTCCTTAGAACAAATGATGTATATAAACTGTCATGTTAAAATTGTCTCCAGCCGGTGTAGACTATAAAGTACTATGTTTTATATAAGATTTTGTTGTTTTATTGTTCACTAGTAAAACCAGGCTACTTCCTCCCTGATTATCACCAATTTACAAGAATACAATTTCTTAAAACTTGTGCGCCACCTGTCGTTAGTAGATGGTACTATGACAGAAAGCTTCCCTGGAATGGCTAAATCGCCGCACAAAGTTTTATTACAATTGGATGATGAGTTAATGAATCAGTGTATGATGCAGCGGGAGTCGCGATATGTGGAGAGCGAGGCAAGGAGGATGACCAATGTGTACGTTGCGGCGTAGGCAGCTTTGTTCACATTTCATTGCGCGTTCACGAAATGCGAATATAGTAAAACAAGTTTTATTTATTTCTTTAGTAAATAATTATTGTTTTGTTTAGGAGACCTCTTGTTGGATGCTTAAATTTGAGGGGACTGGGTTCTGTAGGAGATGAGGGGCTATTTAAAAAGCACTCTGCTTCATGGTTAATATAATTATATTGGAAATACTTTGAACACTATTACACCATGATAATATTTTATTTTTACAAACCTCTTAGATGTGTCAAGTGTTGCCGGCCATTACTTTCATACTCAAACTCCAACACCTCTGTACGGTTAAAATAAAGCTAATATACATTTCATATTATTAGATTCTCCAACTGAATATGTTAATTAATATTAATACCTTATTTGTAGTTTTATCATTAATCATAGATACTTAGTCATTAGCTTTCAACTCAGTCTGACACTGAATTGTTAACAATTTTATTTTTAACTAATAACGATTTCTAGTGAATAGGTATAGAAAGGAAATTTAAAGACTACCTACATGACTTGCGAAAACCCAAAGTATTATATGGGATTTTATGTTTTTCGAAAGTTCGTCCATAAATCTTAGATCTTAGACTGAACTTACTTCTTGTGATTGCAGCCAGTGCTATGCCGCGATGCTCGATTCTAAAAGTAATTCTGGGTCAGTGAGCTCGGCGGCTCTCAGGGACAAGGCCGCGTCGGATCCGTCTTGTGCCCCTCAGAATGTAACCGAGGCTCAGATAAAGCCACAGATCTCTGCACCCTCGTATTTTTATTCTTTGAAGGAGAACGAAGCGTTGCCCTTCAAGAGGCCCGAGAAAGAACCGCGACCAAAACTACTGCTTAATAGCGTCGTGAACGAAAATGATGTTGTGGCGATGATCGCCGCGCATGACGCGAACAGAACTGAAGGTCTGAAGAAACACATAGGTTTGTTCATGACTATAGTAAAATTATAACGTTTTTGTCCGTGTGTGGCCAACAGATATCCTGGGCTGGTAACACGTAGATGTTTATTTAGATATTTCAATAGAGCAGACCTGTTGAGTGAATGATGACCGTGATTTGAAATAATTCAGATTTTTTTTCAAAAGGCCTCGGCTTGACCCACATCGACCATTACGGTATAATATCGCCAATTCACCGAGATAACAATTAATTACTGGTTATAAATATACCAAATATATAATATACCAAATATTGGAAGCAGTTGAGCGATCCATTTCGGAGGTTAGGACAATTTTATAGGGCTTTACAATACAAACAACCCACTGAGTTTCTCGCGGGATCTTCTCAGTGTGTCGCGTTTCCGATCCGATAATAGAATCGACGAAGCAATGCTCTTGCTAGGGCTAGTGTTAGCAATTCTCTCAGGTTGAGCCCGTGAGCTCACCTACCGGTCCGCGCGAACTTGGAATAGCCTCTTAGGCTACCAACGATTAGGTAGGAAAATAAATAAATAGAAACCACACGTTACGTTGAGGCATCCATTTAACATCAAGTGGGCTCATCTGCCAACCCACAGAATAAATATTGTAGTATTAGATTCATAATATGTCTGCCATTTCATTATTATCCGTATTACAGGTAAACTTTTAGTCGAAAAGCAAATCGTGGTCAATTATAATTTGTCAGAAAGAAAATTTGTCACGAATCTGCTGTGCGAGACGATAGACTATGCAGCCCAGCGCGACTTCTCGGCGTTTAAGCTAGCTTGTTTACTTACAACCTACGTCACTGTTCATAGTTACTTCAAGTGGTATTATTGGCAAGCCCCCGTCTCTGTTTGGATGTATTTCAAAGAACTTATGATACGGCTTACAATTGAGGTGATGAACAAATTTATTTAAAAACAGTTTCTTTTCGAAGTAAAATTTTCTTGAGCGTGATGATGACAGAAGTGATTTCTGCTGCCCATTAAATACGCCACTTACAATGTATCACTTCTGTCACCACAACTTCTTAAGGTTTTCTTTAATTGCCGAAGATCTTGTAGCCTATGGCCAACTCAGCCTTGTGTCTACCGTTTCTCTTATAATAAACGATCTCTTTTTTTATCTCAAAGAAATCACAGTACTTCCGTATACGTATTGTAAACACGTGTCGAAGATGAACCGACTAACCAGTGTCTTAACAACTCGCGTCCAAGCCTCGGATGAGAGAGAACTAAAGCGGTGGTGCAAGGCGAACTCGTACCCGCCGGACACGTCACTGGGCCATGACTGGTGTGGGTGGGAGGGTGCGTTCATCCATTCCGAAAGGGTTGGCGGTGATAAGCCCGCCGTGGCTGGTACAATATCCTGCCTATTTCCGCCACGAATAATAATAATATAACTCTTTATTTGACACCACATGTACAGAATAAGCGTATAACACAAATAATAGACGGTGACAATAATGGGGGGCCTTATCGCTGAAAGCGATCTCTTCCAGGAAACCTTGCAGGGAGAGAAATACCTTAGCAAATTAGCACGGACGGTGCTATATCTTAATAAACTTACATAAAAAATATATACTTATATACACACATTGGGGGGTAGATGTTGCTCGCGTCCGTAGGATTACCATCTTTTCCTAGACCCTCCCTACACGTGCCCTCCGGGTGGTGCAAAATGAGCAACAACGCCGAGCTACAGGCGGCGGTGAATTAACCTGAATAATGGTAACCACAAACCATGAGGACTAAATTCCCTCAATAAGAGTGGCGATGGTACCTTGGGAAAGTATCATTAGTATTTCTCCCAACCCCTTTATAAAAATATGGAAAGTCAGAGTAATGAGTGTGATTTGTCATGCGCCCCGGCTAACCCCCGGCGCCCTCTGGTACCCGGGCCGGAGGGTGTGNTGAATTTAAACAAACATTTTGATGAGAAGAATTCATTTTTACTTTGCAAATTTGTAAATACAGGCTCTGTAGCAATGTACGGACATATAATAATATGAACAGCAACAGAAACAATAATAGCATCTACAAATATATATGTACTACGTGGTACTACATTTACTAAAATTAATACAACATTTATTAATTAAATTAATGAAATTGTGGTTTTAAAGTTTTAGGGGTGTATAAAAAATGGGGGGCGCTGAAAAATAATTGATTTTCAAAGGGGGCGGTAAAAGAAATAAGTTTGATAATCACTGGTCTAAGCTATAAAGATTTTTTTTTTGTTATTTGCTACTATTATGAAGTTAAGATACCCTTATTCCAAATTTATTTAAAAAAATTACACCACTCAATTACATATTTAGCAATCCTTTTTTGTAAGCTTAAGAAGCCTTGTGACCTTTGCAGAAGGTTGCGTGTTCACATCCCAGCTTGGGGAGATATACGACAAAGGGAAGATCTTCCACCGAGCGGGTGATATTTGCTCGGTAGACCGACGGTCCGCCCGTTGTTGTTCGGAATATTGTATATATGCGCCTTCGATCAATAATAGTACTAGATTACGGATCAGGAACAAAAATAAGACGCTCCAGTGGCCACGTTTGCAGACACGAAAACATCTTCATTTCTTAGAAAAAAGTTTAATAATGTTAACGACTTCAGTTTATTATAAACCTTAAGACTTAAACATAAAGTTTAATTACCATTGCAAAATATATGTATTTAGGTCCTTTCGTCANACGTGATACGCATAATTTTTCCCTGAGATCATCAGATAGCCTGAGACTGAAAATGCCGGCGCATTCATCATCATTCTTTGATCATTCATTCACCGTCCAGGCGGTTCGATTGTGGAATGCTCTGCCGGATGCAGTGAGAAGTGCTCAAACTTTAAACTGTTTTAAAAGAATGGTGAAGGAACACTACTTATCTTCTTAGTGCTGTTTGTTTGCATCATCATTTATTATTTCCATACTGTTGATGTATTATGTGTATGTAAGTATATTAGTATGTATTGTATGTAAGTATGTATATAGGTATATAATAGTAAGTATATATTTCATATTATATGTAAACGGTATATATTTTGTTTATTGTATGTATATATTTTCTATAATGTATTATCTATAGTACACCGCAACATACCTGCTATATTTTTTTATATTTTCCAGAATTTCTATAAATTATACGGTTGTCTGGAAGAGATCGCTTTTAGCGATAAGACCGCCTACTGTACAAATTTATCTGTTTTTTGATTGTTTTTTTGAATGTAAAGTGTGTTTTGGTGTGCAATAAAGTGTATTCTCTCTCTCTCTCTAAATGTCCAGCCCATTTCCATTTCAGTTGTTGTATTCGGTATTTTATATCTATGATCTTTGTTTGCTTTCTTATTTTTGTTAACCGTATTTTATCTTTTAATTTCATGTTTAACATACTTCTTTCCATTCGGTGTTGACAAATTTCTAAAGATTTTATGTTCTTATTTGTCAATCCCCATGTTTGGCATCCATAGCTCATACTTGGAAGAATGCATGTATTAAATATTTTCTTCTTTGCCTTAACAGGTATTTCTGAATTCTTCATGACATCTTTTAATGCCCAGTACCTTTTCTATCCTATATTTATTCTGTTACTGATTTCTTTTGCTGTGAGGTCTTTGGGGGATATGATTTGGCCGAGGTATGTATATTCATTTACATATTCTAATTCAGCTGTGTTGTAAGGTTTGATAGGGACTTTTTTGTAATTTGTCATCAGCTTTGTTTTGTTTGTGTTCAATGATAGTCCAACTTTTTCACTTTCACATACAAGTTGCTCAATCATTTTTTGTAAAGTTTCTGGATTTTCGCTTATAAGTATGAGGTCGTCGGCAAATCTCAGATGATTTAGTAACACTCCATTAATATTAATACCGTAATCGTCCCATTCGACCTACATACTTTAGTTAAATGTAAATGAACTACATATATTAAAAATGTTGTGAATTTTCTTAAAAAATGCGAAGAAACTTTTTCCCCAACTTATTATTTATGAAGCAAACTGGTTCGTGATGTCTATGGGCACACCACAAACTGAACACCGCCGCACACCCCGAGGCTACTTCGCGTCAGGAACAGGTACCTTCACAAATACGTGTATCACCATGAATCGTTTACGAGCACTTAATGATTCTCCAGCTCATCAGTGCTCACGACAGGAAGGACAGTGCCCGGATAGGAATAGGAGGGACAACATCATCATGGTTTGTGCATAAGTGCGCACACAGATGAAATGGATCATAGTTTTCAAAATAGTTTATTTGTAAGGTAAAGGTACAAATAGATAATAAAAGTCATTATAAAGGTAGTATACAATAATTATATTATAATTGATAATATAAAGGAGAGGCAGCGCTGGATCACTGAGGCCGCTCCGGTCGCGTGCTCTTCGGTAAGATGATGCACAGCAGCCCGCTCGCTGCAACACAGAGAGACGGCGTTACTGAGCGTGGACAAGCGCGTCGTGGCACTGCTGCGCGGGACGTGGCGGCACTCACTGATGAGGAGGGTGCCGAACATGTAGATGGGCACGATGCAGTGCTCGTCGACCAGCGCGCCGAACACCACGTTGCCGACGATGGCGCCCACTCTGCCGCACATCACCGTCACCGCCATCGCCGTCGCCCTGTCCGACAGACGGGCCGCGTCAGTACACCTGCCCGCACGCGCACTCAGCACGACACACTCTGCATGCGCTGCACACACTCACGCGACTTTAGTGGGAAAGATCTCGCAGATGACGCAGAAGAGCACGGCCTCCGTGCAGCTCACGATGGCCTCGAACACGCACGACAGGATCAGGTTCTCGAGCGACGACCGCACCAGGTTAAGACCCAAGGCCGCCAGCCCGGAACTTATCAGCATGATCACTGCAACATGTCACCCCTCATTCTTCCACTGAACTTTGAGAGGAATTGGGCGCCATGAAACGAGCCCCACTCACCTAACATGAGTTTCTTGCCGACGATGTTGATTGTGAGGCCGACCCAAAGCGCGGTGGGGACGCAGCTCAGCGCCACCACCAGCGTGTGGATGTACACCTGGTCGTGCACCGGCGACATCGTGCTCTGGATCTTTAAATACATTGAAACGGTCTTACAGCTCTGTTTTCCGAAATATAGTCACCAGACACAAGGCTCTTTAGACAATAGAAGGATACTCACTGGTATGTCGGTCGTGGCATTGGCGACGGCCAGCGAAACCTCGCAGACTCCGGCGGGCTCGTCTCCGTACAGCGACGCGAACTGGCTGAACCGCTCGAAAAGGTCCGGGAACCACATCATTAAAGTGTAGTAACTAAAAAAGGGAAACCACTAATCACCTTCCAAAACCACAAAATATCACTGCACAAATCGGCACTCATCCCATTGTAGCTTTTGTTGTTCTATCTCTCACCTGAACATGAGGCCGAAGTCCACGAAACAGCACAGGACTAACAGTCCGATGTACGGGGGCGTGACGAGCATCTTCTTCCGGATCCAGAAAGCGTCCCAGCGCTGTCTCCAAGTGAGCGGTGCCTTGGTCTCGTTGCCGTTGTTGTCGGCAGACACCACCTCCTCCTCATCGCCGTCCCCCGCACTAATCATCGATTCGACCTAGGGAATGTCGATCACAGAAATATTAAAGTTATGGAACAAGCAGGGCGACCGCGCCGGAGGCAGGTGCCGGGTAGGTAGTGTAGAACAGTCACCGGGAAGTCTTTGGCGTCAAGCTTGGTATTGACGACAAAGATCCTGCGCAGCACGTGGAGCGCCTGCTCGGCGCGATTTGCGTGCAGCAGGTAGCGCGGGCTCTCCGGGAACGGCAGCAGAAGCAGCACCACGAGCAGGCTGGGCACGCCGCACGCCGCCACGAACACGCGCCACGACGTGTACTGGAAGTCAGCGTCGGCCGCCGTCAGTGTGAACCGCTTGTCCGGGATGATCAGAAACGCGATCCCTGCCGAGTGTTGACGCTCTGTACAATCTGCACGCTGTGTACACTCACTTGCCGCCAAGTGTACTGCTCGCTGTTTGAAATAATGAACTAAATAGCGGTACAGAACAGGTCATGTAAATTGTTTAATTTGGTATTTCCTAGTCTTATCATTTGTATTAGATCAGTCAGATTCATCTACCTGGCAATAGTATAGTTCCCACGGTCCAAAACACCTCGAGCCTGCACAGCATCACGTCTCTGTGCCTCAACGACAGAAAGTCACCGAAGTAAGGGAAGATGAGGCCCGTGGCTCCGATGATTCCGAACCCGGAGAAGAACCTGCATCACACACAAGTCTACAACCAATAGTTAGGCCGGAGTCGGAGCAACTACGAACAAACACTCTTTTGAGTCGGAATAGTTGTCAACGTGAAGTAAAGTTAAACGTGATCATATCCTGTGATAGATACCTGCAAGCCAGGAACCCGGAGAAGGACTGCACAACGCTGGACAGGAACGCGGCCAGAGCATCCAAAAGTAGAGCTCCAATGATGGCGATCTTTCGGCCTCGAGCGTCCGCCAAGTTACCCCAGAAGTACGAGCCGACGCACATTCCTGGAACCAACAGGACCACCGTAATTAAATACTGAGAATTCACAAACCCAAATCGAACAGTCCATCAGCAACAAGCTCCATCAGCAGCGCTTACCGATGAGCGGCGTGGCGGTGAGGCGGCCCTTGTCGGAGGACGACAGCTCGAAGTCATTCTTGGTGGCGGGCAGCACGAAGCTGAGCGTGGTCGTGCTGAGTGCGCAGACGGCGTACACGGCGCCGCAGGACAGCAGCAGCAGCCACTGGAAGCATCCGTAACCTGCGCCACACGGGCACCGCGTGAGTCAGCGTGTCGCCGCGAACTGACGCGAACCGGAGCGGCCGCGCCGATTGATGTTGATGAGCTCAAGTGATTTGTATTAGTTGATGTCAGTGAGAAGTGATCGATCGCGACAGATGCAACGCACTGACGTATCATTATTGCTCGACATTGATGGGTTGACGGGTTGATGGCTTCTATTAATGTAGATTTACAACGCTCCTCGTCGAATATTTTTATTGATTTGTATCGATGTAGTTGTTCCTAAATAATGCAAGCCATTGGTGAACAGTCGAACGCATGTCAGTTACGTAATTAATACTAACTCCGTGCGTACTCGTGCGTGTAACGTAGGCATAGTGTTTGGATATGTTGGAGGTTGCCATTACATGTTGCGCGAGTTATATTCTACAAGGAAACGCTCGTCCGCGCCCAGTACTCCGTCTTGCCCGAGGAGCCGAGAAGAAGAGAACAGGAAGCGAGTCTGAGAGGAAGCTCTTATCTCTCTGAACCGATCCACCGCTCTGAAGAACGATTTATATCCGTCTCTTTTGCCCTTATCAAAGCCCTTAAAGACATTCGGGTTTTCTTTGACGCGGAGTTAGATTGCGACGCCGGCGAGCTCCAGCGGCCCGGCCACCGCTCCTACTTCCTTTACATGATAAACTTTTTTTTCTCCTACCTACGCCGAAAGTTTGGTTTTCCTCCCGCTGTACAGGGAAGAAAGTGTAACTTTTCCTCCCTGGGTACTGACAAGTGCGCATGCGCGTTAGTGTCTACGTCTGCTCTCACGCACCTAAAATTATTCGCCATTGTTGTGCTCGGGTAATTTGCAATGTTGTGTTTAGTGTAAAAGTGAAATAAACAAAAGGCAATAATAACATTTAATAGTGAAGTATTAAACAAAGATGAGTTCATCAGACAGTTCTTGTTCAATTAGTATTTAGAAATTAAAAAAACAGTGAAATTGTTTTTTTAGGAGGGGGGAAAAAAGTAGGACATTTCCTCCCGCGTTTGTGGCAAAAAAATAACAACTTTACAACAATGTAGTATTGCCCGGAGTTTTATATCAACGTATGACGTTCCATGTTCCTTGTTACTCATAACACACATAGATCACTAGACGCGCCCCGCGGTTTCGCCGGTGTGACATCTTATCTTGTCTTATACCTTTAAACGAGCAATTCTTGAATATTAATATAATATACTTATATAATCTGAACCTCGGAAACGACACCAACGATTTTCATAAAATTTAGTATACAGGGGATTTCGGGGGCGATAAATCGATCTAGCTATTTTCAGAAAATGTTGTTTTATTCGTGTTTTCAATAATCAACTCTTCCCGACATCTATTGGCGAATAATAATACTATTTTTCTTAATTGAGGGCAACTAACCGCTTTAAAGACACAACAAGAGGGCGTTATAAAAAAAATCATCATCTAGTGGTTGTTTAAGAGGAAAGAAGCACGATACATTTTATTCAGGATAATGAGTTGCTTGTGTCTGCTCCATAAACTGGATTCTATAGGAACGGTCACCACGGCAACTGTTGCAGCGCGGATGCTATGATATTATATTTACGATGAATGCTTGAATAAAAAATCTATATCTATACTAACATTATAAAGCTGAAGAGTTTGTTTGTTTGAACGCGCTAATCTCAGGAACTATTGGTCCGATTTGAAAAATTGTTTCAGTGTTAGATAGCCCACTTATTGAGAAATGATATACCATCACGGTAAGACTAATACAAGTGGAGCACCAATAAAGAATGTTTCAAAATAGTGGTTTAAATGGCTCCTTAACATTCTATAATACAAAAATATTTTCACTTTCTACGTAAATGAAGTGGGGCGTAACATTTAGCGTTATGCAAAAGTAACTATTCCACGCGGACGGAGTCGCGGGCAAAAGCTAGTAAAAAATAAAAACATCCTGGATAGAACTTGCGTATAATCGTTACTGAGAGATGTAGGCGTAGAGATGTAGATTGAAGTCGTCGTGGCCTAACGGATAAGACGTCCAGTGTATTCGTGTTGAAGCGATGCACCGGTGTTCGAATCCCGCAGGCGGGTACCAATTTTTCTAATGAAATACGTACTCAACAAATGTTCACGATTGACTTCCACGGTGAAGGAATAACATCGTGTAATAAAAATAAAACCCGCAAAATTATAATTTGCGTAATTACTGGTGGTAGGACCTCTTGTGAGTCCGCGCGGGTGGGTACCACCACCCTGCCTATTTCTGCCGTGACATGAGACCTTAGAACTTGTATCTCAAGGTGGGTGGCGCATTTACGTTGTGGATGTCTATGGGCTCCAGTAACCACTTAACACCAGGTGGGCTGTGAGCTCGTCCACCCATCTAAGCAATAAAAAAAAAAGGCGAAATCGGAAGTTCTCGTGACGAATGAATAGTGTTTCGCCTACAGTTTGGAAGTGGCTTATCAGACACAGAAACGAAGGATTTTTGTTATGGCATCATATTGATTAGATCCTAGTTCAGCGCCAAAGGCAATGCTAAAAAAGGATGGTCTCTGTTTGGTGGTCTAGTGCCAGTACAATGTAACAGATCTTCTTACGAAGTGTCACCAGCATTACTGCGCATGAGTACTGAGAGACAATGTACACAACCAAGTAGAAGATCTAGAACATGAGGCCAGCCTTTTTTGATCTCTCGTCCCCGCTGCTCCTAGAGGACAACGCTCGACCTTATGAGGCACCGAATAGTTTCTAAACCGCAAGAGTTAAGATTAGAAGAGGCAGTACAAAATGACTTTGAAGAATTTGATGGTTTTCGTAAGCCTGATTTCTTCAAGAGGGGCCTTAAAAAATGACCACTGCACTGGCAGAGATACGTCGATACCAATTTAATTGATAGAAATAAAAAAGTAGTTTTTCTATAGTACGCGGCAGTTTCGGAGGTAGAAACCTAATATTGCGCATTCAAATTTATAATTTTCTCGACGTATACTTTATTGCTCATTGGTGTTAGCATAGTTGCAGATCAGATGCAGATAGATCCTCCTGTCCTCTATTTGTCAAACCACTTTTCTTCTTTTATGTTCAACACTATTTATTGTCAAGCTTATTGTTATCAATAAACTTTTGGGAAAACTTTTTTTTAAATGGCTAATAACAATTAAAAAGAGAAACTAAGCGTAAGATCAAATGTCGATAATAGGGTAGACACTAGCAGCTAGTGAGTGGCAATTTCAAACAAGCCAGAAATGTCTAAGTCTGAACACGAGCATAAACCCGCAGAGGAAGACATGCAATCAATCTACAGGACGTGGTTGATGTAACTATACATTGTCTATGAAAACATACCTGCTCAATTGGGCGTAAACATCAAACATGTATAGTACATACATATTATTAAAAGAACACAGAGTTGTTACCGGGGACGACACGCACAGCCGCCGCCATCTGCTCTCTCTCTCTCTCTCTCTCTTCCTCTCTCTTTCTCTACACACGCTCACGCCAACTTTATATTGTGTTTGTAAACTTTTGTTACGAAATTTACAAAGAAAAAAGATATTTTGATACAACAAACTTTAACATTTTTAAACTAAAATAAGAAGCTCTGTGTGTTTGATTTGTTAGTAATGCAATATGCAGATGTCGGTGGGATCTGCTCATGCGGCAAATGCATAGGATGCCGTCAACACGAAATCTAATGAGAAAATAAACATTTAAAGAAGACAGATTAGATTTACGGCACGCCTGCGCCGCCTTTAATCAAACGTGGAAAATTTGTATGTTCGCGTAATAAGGTTAATGGGTGCCGCGATAGAAATAGAAGGACGGGACGCACCGCGAGACGCGCGCCGCCTCACCCGCCGCCGGCCGCCGCCCGGGACACCCGGGGACGTGTCCGCGGCGCCGTGGGCAGCCCTGCGCCGGCGTTGGTTACGAGCTTAAAGGAAAACTCCCGATGGCGCGTCCGGACTCACCACCACCACTCCCTCCGTGTCCGTATACACACGCTACACGTCCTACGTTACCGTCCTTCGTTACTGAACAGTTAATATTTTTATTCAATTCCTTGATAAGGTTTACTTATAATTTTCATTAAAGATGTTAAATGAAGCCACATAGCTCGTACAAGGCATATGTCTTGTATGGGACAAAGAAGCTATTTAACAATCACTAACTGAACAATTAGTAATATGTTCATTCGTGCGTGTGAAGGGGCCCGGCCGGCGGACCTGTACCTATCTGAAACAAGTCTGCGTCTCGCGGTGGCTGCCGCTGCAAGCGACTGTGGCGACACTCGATCCTCGCAGTCAACGGACGATCTCCTGTTGACCTAAGTGCTCAATGTACTCCGAGTATTCTGAAGAGCAGCTGTTACATCAGACGGGATGAGCTGATACCCTTCGGAGTGATGTTCCTCGTTAGCATTGAACAGCCCCGGACATGACTCACAGGACCTTTGTCGCGGCCTTTGTGGCGATAATATTTTCATGAAATCAGTTTGTTTTACTAAACCAAATGAAAGCACCACTTGAACTTGTATGATTCACGAGCTACATATGTCCGTGGACACATCCTATATGGTGTACACTGTACGGGACAGTACTCACGCGAGCAGGCGGCGAGCAGAGCAGGGAGGGGGCGGCGGCGCTTCCATCGAACTGTCCGATCACAACAACAAGCAGCCTGTGCTCATGTGTCAGTCTTATACCGGTCACTCACATTCGCACGAATACGCAAACCCGCAAGTGTAGGACGACATTTGCAAATGATTATGCAAAGTTTTCGCTGCATTCGTGGTTTTCCAAGCTGTGTCGGTTTTTTAACAGACATCAAAGCGCGCGAACCGCGATCCTTCGCGTATAGTCTCCCACTCTTTCGTGTGACCAGGATTGCGAAGGCAACGAACGTTTCGCTATTTTCATAGATCGTGACGTCTACTGTGTAGCGTATCTTCATCAAAAGAAATCCCATAAAAACAGCATGACTGTTAATGATGTCTGGGAAAGAATTC